AACAAAACTTGGCGTTTCGTGGACATGATGAAGGACAATACTATAAAAATAAAAGCAATTCTTTGGAATTAGTAAAACTATTGTCAAAGTATAATGTAGTGTTGAAAGAACACATGATGGAATTGAAGGAAGATAAAACTAAGCTTGTCAACGCAATTAAATCAGCGAAATATTTTGGTATTATGTTTGATATCACACCTGACATTTCACATATTGACCAAATGTCTGAAGTGATGCGTTATGTGAAAATAGAAAATAGGAAAGTGGAAGTCAAAGAAGCATTCTTCGGATTCTTTCTTTTGCAAGGAAAAACAGCTGCTGATCCAAGCGATGAAATTCTTGACAAACTTCATACAAACGATTTAGATATTATGATGTGTCGTTCCCAAGGCTATGACAATGCTGCTGTTATGAGCGGTGTGCACGGAGGAGTACAATCCATTATTAAAACAAAAAACAATAAAGCAATTTTCATTGGATGTATTGATCACTCGATTAATTTGTGTGGTCAACATTCATTTGCTCAAAATGTATCATGCGTTACATTTTTTGGAACGGTAGAGATGATTTCTTTTTTTTCCGCCTCCACTAGCCGTTGGGAAGTGCTTATGAAACATAGCAAATAATCTGTTAAAAGACTCTCAGCAACGCGTTGGAGTGCTCATTACCGTGCAGTAAAAGCACTAGCAGAGAATTTTTAAGGACTTGTAGACGCAATTGAGTAATTTTGTGATGGACGAGAAAATGTAGACACTGTAGGCCTGCTGGGTGCAATTACACTTTTTTATGTTATCATTTCTTCTGGTATGATGTTCTTCGTTGAAGAAATGCAAATGCTGCACAGATTGCATTGAAAAGTAAAGGCTTGACTGTTGACGAAACTGCTACAAAAATAGAGGCACTTCGTTTTTATATCGAAGAAAAACGGGATCACATTGTGGAAGAGGCAATAGACATTGCAACGGAAAAATCAGAATATTCCAACAGAAAAACGACTTCGGCGTAAAAAACGGATGGATGGTGAGATGGCCAGCGATGCAGGACTCACAATGAAAGAGGAACTTCAAAAAGATATGTTGGAATGTCTTGACCGATTCAAAGTTGAACTCCAAACAAGATCGAAGTCTCTTCAAGATGTAGTTTCATTGTTCGAGATCGTACAAACTGATGCTTTGCTTTTGGCGACTACTGAAAAACTAAAATTAGCTACATCTAAATTTACTGATTTTTATGATGAGGTCTTAGAAACCGAATTATTTTTGGAGATACCAAGACTGCGAAGACACTTAAAAATCGCTAATGTTATGGTTACTGATTGGGTGTTTCTAGATTCTTTAGAGTTTATTGTAGAATGGGATTTTACAGAATCTCTTCCAGATCTTATGATTGCACTGAAATTGTTCATGACGGTTTGCGTGTCCGTAGTTTTACGTGAGAGGAGTTTCAGTAAATTGAAATTAATAAAAAACTATTAGCGGGCAACAATGACCCAATCGCGGCTTAGCAATCTTGGTATATTTTTTTTTGTAAATTATATTATTAAATTTTAACAGGGTGTATCTAGAATATTTATATTATAATGATAAAAACTATTTTCTTAGAATTAAGCTATAACTATATTCAATTCATTTCTTGATATACTATGTGAACCACTAACAAGTGTCAACTTCAGTGGAACATCCTCGTGCTTATTTGCTACATGTATTCAATTATTATAACCTGTAAATTATGTATATCTGCGAAATAAACGCTATTCTATAGACTAAATAAATGACAACTTACTTGACATATGAAGCTTCAACAAGATGACCGTTATCAATTGTCAAAATTTGGAAGGTTTCATGTTCAATAGGAAGACACTTTTTTCATGCAAAGTAGATTTTATTGGATGATAAATAACTGGAAATGTTTCTTTATAATGCATACTTTCTGGCGGGCACAGTATGTATTCAAATGTGCTTTCGAGAATACAAATTCAATATTACCATAATCACCTCAAAACGATATCGATATTCCATGTTAGAAGCTTTAACTCGAAACCTAGCCTATAAGCTATTCTACTGTTACAGCATTGAAGATCTTGAAGTGATTTCCATCAACGTTCATTATGTAGCAAAATTAGGCTTCTCTCTGTAACTTGTAACACGTATATGTTATCACAGACTTCTATTGTTTTCGAAACAAAGGCAGAATATAATATGCCAACGTACGCGGGAATGTCTGGGTTTAGTTTGATCCCTCACGTCATTCGTTTTGTACTGTATCAGTTTAGATAGGTGATGAGATCTTAAAAAAAGAATTCGATATAGTATGTCATCGTTCTCACCTTTTCGTCTTTGTCATCATGAAATTCTCAAATTCCAAACGTCATCCACTGATAAACTTCAAAAAGAGGTTGAAAAGCTTGTTTCTCGCAAGGCAATGATATCGTGGCGCGACGTATATGTATATATTTCTATTAAGGTTATCCCTAGACGCGATATATTTTCATTGTCAAATATTATCTCACTTTTGTTTTTTTTATCATTCTCTTCGTCTAGGATATTCTTCAATATGAACTTGAGATGAGAAAAGTAAACTGTTCGTAATTTTACCCATTCTCATAAAATTGTATGGAGCTAGTCTGGCGTGGAACTATATAACACCCAGTTGGTTGGCAGCAAGGGTGGTATATATATCTAAAGTGGGCCGGAGAGAGCGAAACCCTAAATCGGTATGACCAAACACCCTTACATTCTTTCTGTCAAACGGACTTGAGAGGATACGGAACGGACACATCAGGAGAGTGGCATTATATGCATCCCCCTGAATAATCACCAGTATGCTCATCAAACCGACAAATCGATAGATTTGGCAATAAACAACCTTCTAGAGAAGATCTCTCTATCCCTTCACAACAAGGAGATTGCGGTTGCTGTATTTCTTGATATTGAAGGAGCATTTGACAATGCACTACCTGAATCTATAGTATTGTCTCTGGCTAGAAAAGGTATAGAATCGACCATAACTGGCTGCCCTCAAGGTCGAGTACTATCTCCCCTTCTGTGGTCTGCTTGATGCCCTCAACAGAAGAAAAGTGGATCTGCAAGCTTATGCAGATGAGTTTATCATCTTGGTAATATCCACGTTGGAAAGGGTACCTTGTAATATCCTCCAAGGCACAATGGACGTTGTTCACAGTTGGTGCCTTGGAGAGCAAATGTCTGTCAACCCCAGCAAAACTGTCATAATCTCCTTCACCAGGAGGAGAAAATTAGACAATATAACTCCACTTTCCTCAATTGTGAGGTAATTTCATTCGGGATGAAGGTGAAATACCTTAGCATTGTCCTTGATGAAAAACTAATCTGGAACACACACTCGGAAAAAGTCTCACACAAAGCCAGACTGTCTCTATGGACATGTCAAAGGATTTGTGGTAAAACTTGGGGTTTAGCTCCCATACAAATTCATTGGATTCATGTGATGATTGTCAGACCAATGATCACTTACGTTACAATTGCCTGGTGGCCAAAGAATTCACAGAAAAAAGCTCAGGCGAAGCTCTCTGGCTTACAGAGACAGGCTCGTCGGGCCATCATTGGTGCCAATCAGTACCACATTGTCAGCGGACATGGAGATCATTCTAGATCTACCTCCTCTCCACATTTTTCTGGAGAGAAGGGCTAGATGGATTGCATATAAACGTGCACATTGTCAATTGAATGAATCAATTTAACACAGAGTACAACAGACTGTTGGTTGACCTTGGAAGTCACAGCATTCTGGAAATAACCTATTACTCTATGCCTCCAACTGTCAACTACGAAGTGCCTAATCAAGTACTGTTCCCGAGTAAGGAGGACTGGATCCTCAGGGAGAAGGAAATATTGAGAGCAGATAGTTCTTGGTTCTGGTGCAGGTGTTTTCAGTCGCAGGCCCAGGACAGAGATATCAACCTGCCTAGAAACTCATGCGACTGTATTTCAAGCAGAAATTCACGCTATTGAATTGTATGCTGAGAAATTGAAAGAATCTAACCTCATATACATGTTAATAAAAATAATATCGGACAGTCAAGTGGCGTTGAAAGTTCTTGGCTCATACCAAGCAACGTCTAAATTGGTAGAAAATTGCCAAGAACGACTCTTATCGATAAGAATACTCAACAGATTGTTTCTGGTCTGAATTTCTGGCCATACTGGCCTAGAAGGTAATGAGGCTGCTAACTCCCTTGCAAAGGAGGGTGCTGCAAGCAGCTTCATCAGACCAGAACATGTCATTGGCATCGCTTTAAGCTTTGCCAAACAAAGATTGAACACCTGGAGGCAAGAAGATTTATGGACTTCTGGCAGAATCTTCCAGAATTGGTTCACTCCAAAGCGTTTATTCACCCTTCGGGGCTTGATACTGAACAGTTATTGGACTATATTAGGGATGAACTACGATGTCTGACAGGCCTTCTTATAGGTCACTGTCATTTGAATCATCATATGCAGACACTCGGACTGTCGGAACACAGTGTGTCGTCTCAGTTTGTAAAATGATGAAACAGCAGGTACATACTTTGTGCCTGCCCCGCTGTGGACCGAATCAGGTTTTTAGAGTACGGCTCTGCCTAACTCTATCATCTACCATCTGACCTGAAAGACCACTCCCCATCCAAACTAATCGGCTTCGTTAAGAAACTGGGTTTATTTGGTCGAGTGTGAATAGATGCGAGTGACCATAAATCCTTGCGGGTTGCGGTAGAGGGGTGAACACACCTACCCACTTTGGACCTAACCTAACCTAACCTAATGGGGTCGGGTTCAAAAGCAGCTCTCATAGCCGAACCCCGCATTCATATGAATTATCTATCATTCCTTAACTGACTTCTTTTGTAGAAATGATGAATGTATACATATCCTTAATATTATTATTATTCAATCTACGCACTCAACAAATTACTTTTGTTTTCACTCATGAGCTAGTACGGTACTGTCCATCAATTGAAACTTCACATTACCCATTATATTTCTAGTCATTAGAAGGATTAAAAACATCAAACACATTTGAGGAAGTTTGACACGGGACCAAAGGAAGTAAACTATCTTCCTAGAGAAATCGAGTAGATGTATACAGATCTTTGTTTGGTGACTACATTTCTTGCTCCAATCAAGGCATGCGATATGATAAATTCGATCATGTGAAATATTGTTTCTACTTCAGTTTCGAACTTTGAACTCAAAAGTACTGAGTACTTTTGAGTTCAAAAAAATTCCATCCAAAATACTTTTGGATTGAATTTTCCATATGATAATGTAGGCACACAATTGATATCTCGGAGACGAGAAGATCTATAAGGTTTTTAGATCAAGAATATCAGTGGTTGTTTTTGAAATATTTCGAACGATATAGAAAGGCAAAAATACTTTCAATACTGTTCCATATTTGTTTTGGTCTGATATGAATCAATTTGCAATACAACGTTTCGTTCATTATATTCAATCATCAACTTTATTTCATTAAATGGATTTTTGTAGTCGCCGTAATGACAAATTCAGATATGTACTGCAATACATGTGTTTCCCGACGTTTTTCTCATCATCATTGTACGATCATACAATTACCGGTCAGAGCATCTTCAAAAAGTAGGGACCAATACTTTTTGGATCCAGAACTAATACCTATTCGTGGTAAACATTCATTATGACCACTGTTTTTCACCCATCGTCCTGGCATAGTCGTATTGAGAAAATTTCTGCAAATAGTTCTGCAATGTGGCGGAGCTCGTTGGAAACACTGATATTTTCTCAGAATATTCAAATGCAAATCTTCCAACAACTCAACCAGAGTATCCGACGAGAATTCCAAATATAATTCAAAGATGTTCAGAGAAGTAGGGAGCTGTAATCTTGCTGGTTGGCCACCAAGCCAAACATTGGCTATTGGTAATTTACTTATCACCAATAACCATGAATGAATATTTATTTTGAATTATTCGTTATTCTTGAATCTACTCTCATCACACCATGGAGTTGTATTACATATTTCTCATTTTGTTTCAGATGCACCAACATGTAAATACGACAAAATAATCATTGTCGGCGCTTCTAGAGGAGAAAGTGTCGATATCGTCTGTGAGATCGAATCAGATCCCCCTGCAAAGTCATATCGATGGAAGTTCAACAACTCCGGGGAAACATTGGACGTGGCTGCGGAAAGATTTGCTAAAACCAGCAACGGGAGTTTCAGTATTCTTCGCTACACTCCGGTCTCCGAATTGGACTACGGTTCTCTGTCCTGTTGGGCGTCCAACTCTGTTGGACATCAAATTGATCCCTGTGTTTTCCAACTAGTTGCGGCTGGTGAGTACTTTTTTCATCTGTATATTTTTAAAAAATCATGCAAATGATAATAAAAAGATTCTGGAATGCTCAATAGTTCGAATTACAGCAAAAAATACTTCAAAATATAACTAGACTCCTCCTCTCAAGAAATGATTCATGAAAAATGTTCAAAAAGTAAGAAAATGAATTGAAGATATCTAAACTCACCTCTATGACATTCAGAAAAGTACAAAAAGATTTTTGATATATGCATTCAAGTTTTGAAGGAGTGAACATCACATGATATTGCCATAGATCAATAATTATTGGCTGGACAAAATCTATCATCATTCAGATAAAATAACTTCCGGAGTAATTTCTAATATAGCGAGCCAATGCACGGAATCTTCTCCAACAATATCGAATATGTCATCTGAATACCTGGACTGAAGTAATAGACTAAAAGACTTGTCATGAATGACATAATGCTTTCCTCATCATCTTGTTCAAGTGTAGTTGTGTGACGAGTATATAAATTCCAGATGCATAATGCAGGACCTGCATGTACTAAAATCATTATGCATCACAACATATTCGGTCTCAAAGCATATCCGTCGATACAACACTACTTACGAGTGCCGGAACATCTATGGTATTGATGAGAAATTACTCACTTTCCCATATACCGTGTGTAAAAGCCATAGGGAATAAATTCATTTTTTCGGTTACGGAAATATATGAACAAAATCCCGAAATACTCGAAATTAAATTATAATTTGACATGCTTCAACGAAAAAATGCTACCCCCCCGTCGAATGATAGGTGCAACTGCCAATTTTTTAAATAGGAAGTATAGACTTGTGATATATCGTTCGAAAGGTCACTTTTTTCTCTATTCAAAAATGTTATTTTTTTCGAATTTATCGCAACAGTCGAGATAAAATAAATTAAAATCATTAATGTTCTTTTTAGATGTTATCCTTTGAAAAACTGTAAATAATTTCCATGGCAACGTTAGTTTGAAACGCCTTGTCACCTTGTTTTGTATGTTACAACAGTTGTCAGAATTTGGATTTATGTTAAAAGTTCGTTAACTTCAAGTCTGACAAATGGTTAGATTACGGAAATGCATAAAATAACAGTTTTACAGATGATTGGCTACGGATCAGAAAGTAGCTCGCCTATTTCATGAGGAATTTCCTAATTTAACGCCTATATCTCATGGAACAATAAGCAAAATAGAGAAGCAGTTTCGTGAGCTGGGTCATGTGGGGCAGATAAAAAAAGCAGCTGCCGACGCAATGAGTGATGAACTCAAATCAGACGTGATGTTTGAGTTTGAGGAAAACCCACATACATCGATTAGACAGGAATCCACTACATTCAATGTTAGCCATATATCGATAATAAACATATTAGAAAAAAATAAAATGCATTCCTATAAAATGATACCTACTCAGGAGCTCATAGAAGACGATTTTGATAGAACTTATTTTCGTAAACAAATGATGGACATGTTGGATAACAATATCATCCAATTATAAGTGTACTTTGTATTGATGAGTGTACTTTGTCTCTCAACATTTTTGAATAAAGAATGAATAGATCTTTCGAACGATATATCACACACCTATTCTTCACATTTGAGAAATTGGGGGTTGTGTCTGTCATTCGACGGGGGTTAAAGGTAGGGGTGGCATTTTCATGTTGAACAATGTCAAATCATAAGTAACACTTGACGTGTTTTGGGATTTTTTTACATATGTACAGTAACCAAAATAATGAATTTAATCCATTTGGCTTTTACTACTATCAGATCAAGATGATATCCGCCACTCTGGTGAGACTCTGCACATCATCCAGACAAGTTTGATTTGAAGGTTGTTGGAATAATAGTAACTAGTCTTTGTTGAAATGATGTATATCATTGACATTGATATTGCTGGACAAATCTTGAGTATCAGCATGGGCTCAAATCTGTGACAAGTGCATCAATGGTTTGATTAGTGGAAATCACCAACTCATCAACTTGTAGGTGTCGACTATCATATATTATTTGTATACTTTCATTTCGTGATATGTTATGTGCAAATGAATATTATTATCATCATATCATTGCTCTTACAGTTCATTCCAGCTTTCGAAAAATGTTCGGTTTTCTACCCGTCTGTGTTTTTGCCATGAATATACAGGTCTTCCATTGGTCGCTTCCTATCTTCAAATTCGAACAAAACAAAGTATGTTTGAGACATATCATTGGAATTTTTCATTCTTTGGAAAGATCCATTGATACCATTATGTGTGGAACATAACATCGTTCAAATGTCCGCCACAGCTTTTCTGGATGAAGCGCATCCGAAACGTTCAATTTTCCATGAATCTGGCGCATAAATCATATTATTATCATTATGTTTCCTGTGGTTTGTCGCCTTACATCCGCCTTACAAGAAAAAGTCTAACGGGATCAAATCGGACGATCTCGGTGGCCAGTTCACATTACCTCTACGTGAAATGACCATGACCCTAAATTGCTCGTCTAGAATATCCAATGTGGCATAAGCTGTATGGCACGTTGCGCTGTCCTGTTCAAGTCACATGTTAGTTTTCATATCGTTAACTTCAGTTCAAAAAAAGTTGGTAACCATCGAGCTATAGTACTCACCTTTGACAGTGACGGCCTGGCCAATGTCGCTTCCGAAGAAATATGGACCGATGACGCCGCCAGCCCAAAATCCAAACCAAACCGTGAGTTGAAGGCTCTTTGATCTCATTTGAATTGGTATCCTCTCATATTCGACAATTTTGTTTGTTCACGTATTCATCCAGATATGCCCCTCATCGCTGAAGTAGTAGTCAGTTACCAACTACTCTGGAGCCTATTCAGCGAACACACGTCGTTGTCAATAATCGTTCTCTTCTAGTTTCTGAGTCAGTTTAATTTTTTACGGATACAGGCTCAAGTCACCATGCAAATTTGGCCAAATTATGGTCTGCAGAAGGCCGACTTTTTATGAGCGACGCTAAATCGACCACCTCAGATTTTCCTCTTTCACAGACAGCGGCGATGTTTTCAGCAGATCTTATGTTTCGTCGACATACGGATGTTGGTCGAACGTTTACTGAACCAGTGGACTCAAATTCTTCAACCAGATTTGAAATGGTGGTCTCGGTGGGGCGACTATGGCGACAAAGCACACGCTACGTTGCCCGAACAGAAAACTCATTTTGATGAACAATTCGGAAGTCCCTGTTGGAAGACCCGTTATTTGATTCGATAGTTGAACAAATGGAATGATAAGAATATTCATTTTGCTCTGAATTTTCGAACTTTACACAGGACATTCAGAATGTCACGAAAGAAAACATTTTCTTTCAGTGAATTTTTTATTCGGTTTGAATAATCAATTGCCCAAATTTTCTCAACTACGTTGTTATTTTACAGGCAAACCTTTTCCGGTGAAAAACTGCACTCTCACCAACCAGACAAGTAGCTCCGTCGAGGTGTTCTGCCTACCAGGTTTCGACGGAGGTCTTCCTCAACATTTCCTCCTCGAGCTATATTCCACAAACTCTGCGATTCCCAGATTTAACATGACCTCTTTTACTGAACCCTACTTCTTCTTAGACAACTTGGAGCCTGACGTGACATTCAGAATTGTTGTCTTTTCGGTGAATTCCAAGGGGAGGAGTCATGGAGTCATTTTGGAGGAGGTGACTTTCAGGGATGCGGAGAAAAGAACAGGTTAGTTGATTTTATTTCGGCATGAGTGCCGATGAACTGTTTTCATTCAACACGCGATAGTTAGATACCACGAAGATTATCATTAGCAGCACTAACTTTTGTCACACAGCTCATCACAGTTAGCTCATCAGTTGTGATGAAAATGACCTAATTTCAATAATAATAATAATATTTATTTGACTACGTTACAAAATACAATATGTTTGTAGCGAGTCATGTTTGGCTTTACATTTAAAGTTCACAAGTTAAAATTTACATAACATTCATAAGTAAAAATTTACACAACAATCACATATGTAAAGACTTTGAAAATCAAAAAGAAGTAGTGACTTGTATGTTACCACAAAAATGTGTTCTGAATATCGACAGAATAGTAGCAATGCCTCAACAAATAATTTTTCAATTTTCTCCTGTATGTGTTTAGACTGAGCTCTTTGAAATCTATGGGCAAAATATTATACAGAGAGTAATCTATGGAATTTTTTTGCGATGAATGAAGACGAAATCGATTTATTCTAATGTGGTGAGCGTTTCGTGTGTTATATTCGTGGATATGACATTGTTTCGCCAAGGATGGTTTTTTCTTATGGATTTCAAATAAAGATGACAATGGCATAATTCTGAGTTTTTTTAAATATTCTTCACAGTGATCCCTGTATCCAATATTAGCCAGCACTCTCAATGCCTTCTTTTGCATCCTAAATATTTGAATAGAATGGCATGAATTTCCCCAAAGTTGTACACCATAACTAATATGACAGTGAAACAGTGAAAAATATGTGGTTTTTAATATATTTGCAATAGTGAAGTACTTCAATTGGCGAAGAACAANTTGTTCCTGCCGCCGCAGGTCAAATGAGGTTTTCAATGGTTGGCAGATTTTCATCTAATCTTGAGAAGCTGAACTTGTTTGTTCAAGTTTGAACTGGTGAGAGCCACAATAAACTCTTGTTATTCACATCGGAGTATCTAATGAACCACTTAGCTTGATCCTAATCAACCTAAGACTGGTGCATGAATTCAATCCAAAACTCTACTTACCGGTCATTGATGTTCCACCAGCTTATCTGGCGAAATTTGAATTTCGTGAGTGAGTCGATTCTTTTTTGTCGCTAAATATAACTGAAATTCCCCATAACTCTAACCTTAATCTAATTTTGCCGTAGTTTATCAGCCCCAGCTACTGTTATTGTGCAATTATCGAGACAAATTACTTATGCGGAATTGATTTTAGATTATAGTCGTCGCCTTCTATGCAAAATGTCCAGCCGAAGCTCGGTTTTGTCGATGGAACTGTTTCCATACGATGGTCGTTACGTATAAGATACCGCTGCGATTATTATGAGCAGAAGTAATTTTTGTCACGCCAAGTAAGCTCATTCAGAAGTGAAGAAATATTTCAGATAACGGCAATCGTGATGGAAATTACCTATTTTTTGAAAAGATATACTCACTTCGGTAGGTTTGTTTTCTTTTACTGCTTTTTGCAAAACTAATTCTAGGGAAAGGCGCAACATTTCAACTTCCTTCCTGAAATAAATCAAATACTTGATAATGATATAGGAATATAGGCTTTCAGGGCTGGCGTCAACATTTTGGTTGGTTTCCGGGTTTTGCCGTGGTTTTATTCAGTTACAATCTCCGAACGTTTCAACTGCAACTGCGGCAGTCATGCTCAGCGGCGTGTTCGAAGTACTCTTCTTGACGTATCACCTGAAACTCAGTTTCAGTTGACGAAATGTTATATAGTGAAGTCAGATATTAATTTTACAATTCTTGAGCTTTCAAGTTGCCTTCCCGAAAAGATTTGCGTGTTATCAGCGTAGAAATATAGATATTGAATAAAAGAGGTCCAAGCATGGAACCTTGTGGAAATCTAAAATTGGTGTCCAGAACTGCAGATTTGAAGTGATCAAGGCTGATACACTGATTTCGATGCTCCAAAAAGCTTTATACGAGTATAAGATAATAATAATAATACGTTCATTATTTACCACGTAATTTCATACTCTTCTGACTCATTTATTTTCAGGACTTTTTCAACATATTACACCTTCTCCTCCAATTTTCCAGGAAGTTCCACGAGCACAAAATCATTTTCTATGGGCTTTCTATGAAGCTCCTCAAATCCATCTGGATTGATTGTATAGTAGTAGTCATCCCCTGAGGATGAACCAAGTTCAAGTTTCTCCTCTGAGCTTTCAGAACTATCTTCAAATATTTGTTTCTTGACCTTTTCTACTTTTTTCACTTCGATTTTATCAATTTTCCTTTTCTTCGTAATGCTTCGTTCTTCTATGGCATCTTTTTCGGGTGTGTCAGTAGCTATAATACTTTTGCCCTTTCTTCGCGTATTTTTAGTTTTGCTTTCTCCTGCTTTTGGAAAGCTCTTGAATTCGTCTGGGCTTTTAAAAACATCTGTGACAGTCTTGCCATTTTTATCGTTCTGTTGATTCCTATTTTCAATACTGGTGTCTGAGGTAGCATCATTTTCTATATCCGATATATTTTCTTGAATATTATCACTCACGGATATTTTCTTTGTTGATGTTGATGTACTTGGTAGATCGATGGACTTTTTTGGTTTACATCATCTTTTAAATCGCGTTCGGTAACAGCGCTTGGTAGAAAGTCTATATATGTGAAGACATTGGCATCGTATGGATATATACCACACTTTTTGAATGCATTTATAATATTGCTCGGTGTGAGAGCATGAGCAAAGCCGACGCACTCAGCTACTTCATATATGGTGAAAGGCTTACCTGGATGTTGCATCATCCAGGTATCTACAGATGATGCATTCTCAATATTATAACATGTTGAGAATGCTTTGAATACCCCCACATCTAGTGGTTGCATCCCATTTGTGGAATGAGGAGGAAATGTTAGAATTGTTACTCCGTTGTCTTTGGCCAAATTAAGAACACGTATACTAAAAAGACTTTCATGATTGTCATAGATTAAAAACGATGGATTTTCTTCAGAGCTGTTAGAATATTTTATAAAATGCTTCATTACTTCTAAAAAAAGATCGGCATTCATACACTCACTTGGAGCAGCAAGCCCCAACGTTTCTGATGGGGAGTCTCGTAGCATATGCTCCTTTGGATGCACCCTGGGAAAAACCATTGCTGGTGGTAGGTATTGTCCCGTGGCACTAATGATGCAACAAGTGGTAACCAATGTACCTCTCTCCCCACTTGTTACCTTGCTAACTTGCTTCACCCCTTTCTCAGCAACAACCTTTGCCGATTTTTGAACCGTCTTAATCGCAGTCTCATCCAAATTGTAGATTCTTTTTCCGTCAGCGAACGCATCAGTTTTTGAATATATATTCAAATATATATTCAAATTTTAGTAAAAAATTGAAACATTATGTCTATTAAATGACGTCGCACTGGATAAACTAAATCCTTCGGAGGTGCTTAGCGACAGTCGAACATGTCTTTGGCGAAAACCTCTCATCCATTTTAGCCCTGCCATTTTTCTTTCATGCCATTTGGGAGGTATTTTCTTTTTATTTTCGATTGCCATTTCATAGGCAAGTTTTCTGCAATCGTCAACAGACAACCCATATAACATGCGTGAGCAGCTTATGATATAGTTTTCTAGGGAATCTTCTTCTGCAGACGTAAATTTGACTAATGTCGTCAACGTCTCTGGCTTTCTTAACATATCTAGCCAATGTCTGAAATGGTATATCTTTCAAAGCAGCTACTTTTCTCAAAGATCCTCCTTCTCTGACCAGATTTACTGCTTCTTTCATTGTTTCCTCTGCACAATTTCCAATTTTTCTTCTCTTCGGATCCATAATTAGCCTGCAAAAAATATTTGGTCACATATGCCCAACAGTGAGACAGTGCCCAAAAGTGAGACGCTGTCTCACTGTTGGGCACTTGTAGTCGGCAGCCATTTTGTAACCTTACTTATACAATAAAATTTATAGAGACAAAATGATCCCACTCTTGTAATCCACATAAAAAATACTTACCTTTAACCTAGGCAGATCACCAAAATACTTTCTTTTACTTCCGAAAACACGAACTGACAAAACTTGAAAATATTTACTTACACACGTGGAAATTAAATTAATTTAAACGGCGCGTGCATCTTTGCCAGCCGCGTGTTCAACACTATCGGCGATTACTTGTTGATATGTAAGGTTTCTGATCACCAATGGAAAACCTAGTCGTTCGCGTGATAAGTGGGGGAGAGACAGTGTCTCACTGTAGGACCTACCTCACTGTTGGGCTAACTCCCCTAACCATTATCTATTGAAACATGTATGTGTTGTATTCGGAAGATTGCTTCTGTAGATGGTAAAAGGTTTCTTAACTCAATCGTCAGTAATTTTTTGTTGAAATGATCTTAGATGAAGCATAAATAACTTTTCCTTCAAAGTTGCTTCAGCCATCTTTACACAAGAAAATCGTATCGTCTGCAAAACTGGTGATTTCAGCAGCATCTATGGTGACTATTGAATTCACATACAAGATGAACAACACAGGCCCGAGTACTGTTCCCTGGAGCACTCTGTGAATAACTAATGTGCTTTTGCTTATTTCATCGCTCTGCTTCACGAAATCCCGAATCCAAGGCCTCTCCATACGTAATGGAAACGTTCATTGAAAAAACCAAATACGTTTATGGCATATTCATTGAAAAAATGGATTTTTCCTATGCGCCAGTGCGTGTATGACTTTTTCCGGTTCGCAAGTTTATAGCGATTAGTCTTCCTGTTCCATGGAGATATGCACGGTCGCGTGTGTATCAATTGCCCTCGCGAAATTGTTCGTTTTCATTGTTTGGGACCAAACACAAAAAGTCGGTAGTTGAAATTCAGGACCGAGGCTTTTTTAAAATATTT